AGGCAAAAATAGGTTCTCGTGCTTGCTGGGCGAACACCAGTTCGCACTATGAGTGCAACTACACCATGAGATGTTTTTTGTGATGTCAAAATATTGAAACTACTTTGAATTTTGATATATTGGACAAAAACTCTGAGTATGTGTGGCTCCCTTGCATTAGAGGTTTTAGGAATAATAAAAAACCACCTTGAACTTGCCCAAGAACATGAAAAACATATATCTTCACAAAAATGCATTACATGTGTCGGCACATACATATTTTAGGCCGACACATGTAACTCAATATTAAAGCCTGTAGCTTCTACTTTGTTTCTACACAAAACTGCATTTCATGTGGTGGCACATACGCATTTTAGGTTGACACATGTAACTCAATATTAAAGCTTGTAGCTTCTGTTTTATTTTGGTCGACACATACCTTCTACATGTCGGCATATACTGATAGTTTCACTATTATGTGCTGTCACATCTACTGTCCTAAATAAGACTGGAGGTTTTGTTTCAGTTTGGTCCGCACATATGTCATTCAGGTCGACACATGCTGTTATTTTTTATAGTATGTACCGGCACACCCAAAGTTCAGGCCGACACATGCTATTTAAGTTGGTCAGTTTTGGTTATTTTTTTACTCTGAAAGTGACCTCTTTGCCACCAATCTTCCAAAACTATAAATACTTCATTCATGCTTCATTCCAAACGGGTGATACCATAAAATTAGCCTGCATTTGCTCATCATCTTCAATCTCCATCCTATGTCTACACACTAACAAATCACGCATGATAATATTTTGTTGTAGTGCTAGCTAGGTGAAGGCTTGATAAGGTCCAATTAGGTTCTTGTGTAGACAAGATATTAGGTTGAGATTTATAGGGGTCTTCATCCAGAAAAACTGTGATTTTGTCCACCAAGATCGAGTGAAGATTTGGGGGTTTTCGTGCAAGATGTTCAAGAGAAGATTGCGACGTTGTGAAATCCTTTGGAGATAAAGTATGCAAATGACCCTTTAGAGATAAAGAACACAAAGGAAGTAGCGGAGAACGGTGAATCAAATTAAAGTCTTGCGGAACAACCTGTGAAATTGGTCTTGCATGAAAGCTTTGGAGATAAAGAATGCAAAGGAGTAGCAATATCGACAAGTCAATTGGCATTCATTGTTGTCTTGGTCTTACTCAAGATCAAAAGAAGAAAAAGGGTTGAATTAACATCAGAATCGGTCATGTTTATATGGTTGCTCTAAACACTTTTCTTGTATATCGAATTTTTACATAGTAAGAAAGTATCCTAATTCCACATTGGAAATTAGGCGCAGATGTACCCACACACGAGGACGAAAGTGGGGAACTACGTGAACAAATCCTCGTGTCGATCTCTCTATTGTCTCTTTACTCGCTTTATTTTTCATTACACAATTTGTCAAATAGTATTGATTTTAATTGATCGACTCATAAGAATTTTCCTGTGAACTTTCTGTTTTAACTTGGTTGTTGATTAGCTTATAATCACTTTTGATTATAAGTGGTTTTCATATCAACAACAACATAAAGGAAATTCTAAAAATTCGTTCGCACACCAAGTGTTTGATAAATTGCTTAGTTCAATATTTTCTGCGTATTATCATTGGAAATAGTATTACTAAGTAATTAGTTTAAATAAGTAACAACATGATACTCGGTTAAAAGTTAAATTTGACTATTGTGTTTGTCATTCCATAATTGGCTTTGCATCCGAGTTCCAATAACTAGGTTTGTGTAGCCGACTTTTGTCGATCCACACTAAAACCTTTCGCGTGCGCTCTTTTTCAAATAACTTAAAAACCCAAATTTTATTTGGTGATTTTGGCTTGGGTGCCTATTCACCCCCCTCTAGACAAGTCGTCATCGTCTAACACACACTGCGATCAACCAAACATAATTACTTCCTAAAATAATATTTTTCCACGCTTCTGGGAAAGTTTTGCTCACCTTGGGTTCATTGGGCGAGCTCGCTCGCCTCCAGTTCGGACAACGAATATGACAGCAGACTTAGAACTTGTTTCAACCATAACTTGAGAACCGTAAATTTGTTTTACGTGCGGTCGGAAGCGTTGGAAAGCTTATTCAATGCTTTATAAGACAATGATAAAATATCATTGCTTGTATACCTAAAAAGATGATAGAAAAAATATCAAACTCAAAGATATGTACATGATTACGCATATTACACACTATAACGTAAACTACACAAAACATACACTAAAATTGAGGTTTATTGGTATAATTAAGCTGATAAGTGCCAATTATTTACACTTAAAATCACTACAATTTAGCACTTATGAGTCTCCATATCTATTTGTATTCCCCCTCCCCTCCCCTCACCTCTTACTGAAGAGTCATGATAAATTGGATCTATGGCTATAATAAACATAATTGCCTATTTAATCATTCTGTAATTGGCCCATCATTAACCGTTATGTAACAGAATCATTATTAACTGTTCTATAACAGTCTCGTCCTTTGGAATGCCATAACGGATCCGTACTAGAAGGTATCTTCAATGCCCGGTAAATTGAGTCCGAGATGGGTATGAAACATGCTACCTGGTCTCATAAAAATCCAGGGATGTACATATTGCCCAGCTTTGGGCTATACACCGACCATATCATAATTAGGGAAGTATAATCAGACTCCTAAAATTGTCGAGGTGTACACTTTCTATGTCATCCTTTGAACTCATTCACAAAAGACATAAAGTACTTATTTCCTCAAAGTGAAGGTACTTCAAATGGTCCACATAAATCAGAATGCACTATACCCAAATCATGATTTGCTCTTGGGGCCACTTCTGATACAAATGGCAATCTAGGTTGCTTTTCTTTCATGCATATCTCAAATGACTTCCAAGGCTTCACAGTCTTAGGAATTCCATATACTAACTTCTTAGAACTCAGATGCCCTAAGCTTCTGAAGTTGAGATACCCCGATCTCTTATGCCACAACTCACTGTCACCTTCAACACCTTCTGCACTAAAGCATTTAGTGTTAGATGTTTCTACATTCACCTTTAATATTTTGTTGCTATCCTGTTCAGACTGCATAACCAGCTTCTTATCAGAATCATATAACTCTAAGAGATTGTCCTTCATAGTAACTGAGAAACCTTTCTCAATTAGTTGACCTACACTCATCATATTGCTCTTCATGTCAGGAACATACCAAACATATTTGATCATAGCAGTTTTTTCATTCTTCACTGTGACCTTGACATTTACCATTCCTTCAACATTTAGATACTTATCATTAACACATCTGATTTTTATCCTCTTTCTAGAGCCAAAATTAATCATCCATTGTTTGTTTCTAGTTAAGTGATTTGAGCATCCAGTGTCCATATACCACCAGTCTACCAAATATCCACCATCAAATTCATAAGCCATCAATAGCACATGTTCATCAATAAAATCACATATGGCTATGTTTTCTTATTCTGATTTCCTTTCCTTGTTTGACCAACAGTCAGCAACAAAGTGACTAAACCTCTTACAATAGTAACATTGAACCTTATTCTTGTCAAACTTCTTATTTCCCTTTAGATGTTTGTTCTCATCAAAGTTGGAGGCTTCTGACTTCTGACCACCACCATGTCTCTTCTTGGCCTCTGATCAAGACTGCTTCTGATTTTTCTTACCAGAACATGGCTTTAAATCCTGCTCTACCTCTCTTTCAGAGGTTCTCTCAGTTAGACGTAGCCCTTGTGCCTCTAGACTACACTGTAGCTCTTCAATTCTCATGGGACTCAGATCTTTAGAATGTTCAATTGCTATAACAATGTAATCAAACTGAGGAGTAAGTGATCTTAGTACCTTTTCAATTATTACTTGTTTAGAGAGAGTCTCTCCATAAGGTTTCATCTTATTTGTGATCAGAATTACTCTAGAGATGTAATTAGGTACCTTCTTATTTTTCTTCATGTTGAGATTCTCATACTACTTACGTAGATATTAAAGCTTCACATTCTTCACTGATACATCACTGTCGTAGCATCGTACTAGTGTGTCCCACACAACCTTCGTTGTTGTTAAATTAACGATTTTCTCAAACACATTCACATCCGCACATTGATGGATGTAGAACAGAGCTTTCTGATCCTTCTTCCTCATCTCTCTATATGTGTTCCTTTGTGCTTCAGTTGCATCTGCTGCAACCGCTACGTAACAGTCATTGACGATGTCAAGAATGTCTTGAGCGCCAAACAACACACACATCAGAATCATCCACTAATTCACATTCTTTCCATCAAAGACTGGAAGCTTTGTGTTCAAGCTACTGTTTTTACCGTTCATCTTCGATCTTGTGCAATAATTTACTCAAATCTAATTAAATATTCGTGTTTACTAATCCATCAGAATCAAGAAATGTGATTCTATTCTGATTTCGATCATAAATCCAACACGAATTCAATAAACGAAATCAATCACACACACCTTATGTTCACTTGTGTTTTCCTTAGTGTTTCTCGTGGATCCGAACCGGAACTCTAGATATAAATTATTAATGCATAAGAAAAAAGAAGATAAAGATGATAAAGATAAATAATGAGAAGAGAGAAAAGTTATAACTATTTTTTTTAAATATAATTGTTAAAATTCAATTATAAAAAGAAATCTATTACAAACAAAAACCACACTTGGTTTGTATACTCATCATCACCTAAAATAAATTCAAATGCAAGAAAAAAAAGTAAACTTATTTATTGAAAATTAATTACTTGCATACAACTCTTACTTGTGAAGTTGATATGTTAGAAAATAGATTTATCATCCAATATACTTTATCTTGTCGGAGCATTTATGAATTAATATTGATTAAGCTTCATTCATTATCACGAGTTTTCATTTTTTTTTAGTAAAAGAAATTTTATATTACTTCAAAAATATAACAGTAAGTACAAGCGATCTTATTCTGGATCCAGCCACTAACACAAACCAAATAGGACTAATAGAGTCAAGAAAAACTAAAGATAACTATCCCCCATCTAACATAAGAATAGCTATGTATTTTCTAATTTTCTTGGTATTCCATCCTCTGTATACCAATGCATCTATAACTTTCTTCCCCACTATGGTTGTATCTTCATTCATATCAAAAAAATTTTTATTCCTAATCATCCAAAGTTCATATATAGTTTCAGATGCCGCCATTTTAATGACAGCCGCCCTTGCTCCTTTTCCCTTTGTGTTCTGCATCAGCCAATTAAGTTCGTCTTGCCAGTCCCCCGGGATACAATGGATCTGCATCCAATGTAGGAATTCCTTCTAAATACTTCTCATTGTTTCACATTCGAAGAATAAATGATTTAGAGGTTCATCATTCGAACAGAAACAACGTTCAGTGTTTTCAATCACGCCGAACCTAGCTAACATGTCCTTAGTTGCTAATCTATCATGACAAGCCAACCAGATAATAAAATTAGCGCGGGGTCGTGCGTTATTACCGTAGATCAAGTTTGCCCATCTTACCTTCTGTCCATCTTCTTATAGGGATTTGTAAACTTTGCCAACTTTAAGGTGTGGATCCTCCATGATTTCTGCCAGCTTCCCTTTTGTGGTGAGATCATCCATCTGACTAAGAATGACCTTCATAATCCAGGAATCATTGTTGGTACACTGTATATCTAGCAGACTTTTGTTTTTGATGTAGTATGCCTGTATCCATCTCCTCCATAGCGAGTCTTCTTTCCCACTCAAATTCCAAAGCAGTTTCATTAAGTTGGCATTATTCCACACTTCAATATCTATGGTATCCAGCCCACCATAGCCAACTAGTTTGCAGATCTGTTTCCAAGATACGGGTGACTTACGGTTACCTGCAAAACCGCTTGTCCAAAGAAAAATCCGGTAAATTGTTTCAATTTTTTTAAGGACACCTTTAGGAAAGGGAAAACAGGTTAACCAATAGTTGGTCGTCGCAAACATCACGCTTTTTATAAGTTGTAATCTCCCCGCATAAGTTAGTAACCGCGTTGTCCAGTGCTGTACTTTTTCAACAATTTTGTCAATCAGCGGAGAATACTGGGCAATAGATAACTTCTTACTCGTTACGGGTACCCCTAGATACCGGAACGGTAACTGTCCCATTTGGAAATTTGATGCCATACGAATATCTTTCTTCGTCTTCTCATCTACACCAGCAAGATAAATTCGACAGTTTTCATTTTTTATATTGAGTCCTATTGCACCGAAACAAATAATATTAATCTTTAAAAATATAAGACAATGAAAGTTATATATATATATATATATATATATATATATATATATATATATATATATATATATATATATATATATATATATATATATATATATATATATATATATATATATATATATATATATATATATATATATAGAATATTTTGTTTAATAAAAAATATGTTTTTAAATAAAATATGACAATTATTTACTATTAAAATTTATCTAATGTAAATATTTTATATGTTTCTCTCACCTTTTAAATAGTGAGAAAAAACAAGTCATTATTGATATATGTTTTAGTTTTTTTTTTCAAAATGGTTTTTATAATATTACATATTTTTATTAAAAAGGTTTTACAAATTTTTTATAATAAAAGTTTTAAATAAAAATTTAGTTTGAATAGTTGTGTTAGATATTTTATTATCTTATTAAAACTTTTTAACATATTGAAGTTTAAAAAATCACTTAACTTTGAAACTATCTTAAATAAATTTTTTTTGAAATATAACTTTTTAAAACATTAGAATTTTAATTGTATTTTAATTTTCAATAATAAATATTTTTGTTATAAAATGTCAAAATTAATTTTTTAATTTATAAAAAATAATTTTAAATTTTCTTTTAAATATTTTGATAAACATTTTCATAAAAAACATTTATAAAAAAAACTTTGTTTTAAAGATAAAACAAATAGACTCATTCTTTCATGTAAATATCACTGGTGAGAAACATGTCATGTTATGTGTAGTCGATGCTTTCTGTGGTAGATTAGAGAAATATAATTAGACGATTTTTTTTGTTGAGAAAACGTAACATCAAATTTTGAATGTCAACATCCATAACAATCCTAGTGAACGATTGCATGCATACTGTATTTGAGAAGTCACACCCAATTTCTCTAATAGAACATGCATTGTCGCAAACAAAGACTTGGATGTTCTTGAAATTAAGAAATACGATAATGAGCAATCTTTGAACGATAGAGATAAGGAGTCCTATCCTTTGGCGTGTTCTAAATGATCCTTAGCTATTTTATTGAGGTGTTTTTTCGGTTGGGCATTTATGCAATTGGGCATTCCATCGATTTGGAAAACTTATTATTAATATTTCTTTTTTTAATTTGCACTCACTTGCTCATCGTCGGGCACGGTCTAATCCAGTTTCTGTGGGGAAGGTCCAATCCTCCAACGCTCACAGGGAACTCTCGTACACGTCTCCCCCACGATCTCCACGTGTCCTTCACGCGGAGACACGTTATCAAGCAACTACCCACCTTCCGAAGATCACGGGCTAGTTGAACCAGGGCGAATACCATGTGCTAGTATTCCCTACGCCGCGTAAGCCCTGACAGTTATTTGTATTGAGTCTTGCAATCCAATCCAGTGCAAAGTAACCGTTGACGCAGTGTTTAGGGTATATTATAAATATTTTCTTTCACTATAAAGTCAGGTAACGGAGTATCTTATAGGTACACTCTCCTTTTGAAACACAACATTTAAAGTTTTTTTAGGATATTGATTTAGAGAAGAGATATGGTTATATAAGCAGCAATTTTTTAGCCATAGTTTATTGTTGTGTTGTCTTAAGTAATAAATGGTGTAGTGAGGCAACAATCTATGTGGTTGACCGCTCTTTCATTAATTAGAAACCGTAGTTTAATCGATTCGGCTAAATTAGAAAATGAAACCCTAGGTTAGACTTGCACCTTAATCAATTAATTGGACTTTTAATTGATTATGAGGAAAACTCGCTCTTTAATTAATTAGATCGAAGAGAGCTTTAATTAATTAGACGACAAGCTTAGCATTCCTAATTGATTATTGCTTCTTAGTCGAGTATCCACTTGCCAAGATTGATTTTTAGAAGGAATTAGAAAAAGATGAAGAGATTTAAAAGGTTTTAGAGTGTGTAATTCTAGTACATTAAAACTTGTTTTTTCTTATTTTACAAAAAAGATTAAAAACACTAAGTGCAAGATCTCGAGAACTTTCAGATCTTCAGTTCCTTTTTATGTTGATCTTTAAATTTGAGTTTTTTTCATCATTAAAACTTGATTAACTTTCTTTTTGATAACCTCTTATTTGATTATGTTTAGGGTTAACTTGATTTTTGATAGCCTCTTTTTCCATCGAAGTTTGCAACACTCCATTTAAGCATCCCAATTAAATCCTTCTTTAGTCATTTTGCGATTCATTAAAATTTAAAAAAACAAAGAAACACAATACACAATACACAAAAAAGAGTTTTTGTAAATAAACAACAAAATATTGAAATAAAATTTTACAATTAGTAGAGTAAGATTCAAGTATATATATATATATATATATATATATATATATATATATATATATATATATATATATATATATATATATATATATATATATATATATATATATATATATATATATATATATATATATATATATATATATATATATATATATATATATATATATATATATATATATATATATATATATATATATATATATATATATATATATATATATATATATATATATATATATATATATATATATATATATATATATATATATATATATATATATATATATATATATATATATATATATATATATATATATATATATATATATATATATATATATATATATATATATATATATATATATATATATATATATATATATATATATATATATATATATATATATATATATATATATATATATTATGTTTTTCAATGATTCGAGAAACGTCTCAAATATTCGAAAATTGAGAAGGTGGGAATACAAACGAAGAAATAACAAAACGAAGCGTTAAAATCATCTTTAGATTGGGTCGGGTTGCGTGAATGAAGGGCCAGACCTGTTGTGTATGAGCTCTTCTCAGTTTCTTAATATTTACACTTCAAATATTTATTCATGCACCCTTTTTCTCTTTTTATTTTTTAATATGAAATTTATTTAAAATATAAATAATAAATATATTTTTGAATTTACAAATAGTCTAATAATTAAAGAACTATCGCTTAAAGCTTTGTGTTGAATATGGCAATAGCATTATGTATATACTAGCGTTTAAACAGACACTTTTGTGTCCGTCTATTCACTTTTTTTTAGTGCGCACACGAGTTAAAATATAAAAGTAAGATGAAAATCTGAATGACTTAATTATTTGATACGTTCTATTAAAAGTAATATTATTTACGGATAGTATAATTAAAAGTAAGATCAAAATAAATGTGTATTGTCTAAATGTGTGCTGATAATATTTGTATCTACAATTAAATTAAATATATTATGAATTCATTTCTATCTGCGAGATGTTGGATCGAACTTTAGTATGGTCGATGTCTGTTCGCGAGTAATGCGTGTTGTATTCGAAGTTTTTTCTAACATGCATTAGTCAATATTGCTAGGGTTGTTAGCATGTTGAATTGGAGCCCAATTGTTTAAGTTAGCTTGTATCCTAAGTTAGCTTGTAATGGATAATTGTTAAAAAGCCCATTAGGTTAGTGTGCTATTTTTTATATAAATAGGATACTAGTTTCTCAATCTTGTCAATAAGGAAAAATAGGAAGATAAAATCCTAATTTCAAGAGAGAGAGGTTATTTTGTTATTCTTGTATACTTGTAATCTTGTCCTAAGAGAAAGGAAAGAATAGCAGTTTAATAACCAATCGTTGTTGTTCCTTGTTGTTTTACCTTGTCTTCTTTGTTAACCCTAACCCTTGTGTGTTTCTTGATCATTAAGAAACCGTTTTATATTTTGTTTAAAGACATCCGATTCACAACAAATTGGTATGGTGAGCGTGGAAAAGATGCCTTCAACAAAGTATGAGATTGAAAAGTTCACCGGAGTGAACGACTTCGGTCTGTGGCGCTTGAAGATGAAAGCCCTATTGGTTCAGCAGGGTTGTTTGGAAGTATTGAAGGGTGAGGCAGCCATGGACGGTGCGTTAACGGCAAAAGAAAAGACGGGTATGATCGAGAAAGCCCACGACGCATTATTCTTGAGCATTAGTGATAAGGTTCTTCGACAGGTATTAAAAG